GGCTGGCAGGGCAGGCTTCTCCTGCGCTTCATCAAGTCATCTTGAAGTGGGTGCACTTGGGTGTGGTCTGCTTGATACCTGGTTGATGGGGTTCTGGGAGTTCTACTCCCCAAGCCCGGCCCGAGGCCAGGTTTGACTTGTGAGAGTTTGGAGCAGTTTGGAGAGTTTGGAGAGCTTGGAGCGGCCCGCAGGCCCACATACCCACCACAGCCCGATTGGTCCGGCACTCCTTGGAGGAAACAATCTAGTTTCCTCTTGAAGATGTCCACTGCTGTTCCAGCAATATTTCTTATGCTCGCTGGAACGACCCCATCCCTCAGGTGGGTTTCCTGCCTATTTCCAGTGCCGAAACGGGACTGTGTGGATCTGAGGTTCATTCTGGACTTATTCCGTCTGAACCCCTGGATTCCTTGCCCCTCCTTTCGGATGATTACTCTCTCAGGTCCAGCTTTTGTCGGAGCTGGGTGTCTGGATGGTGTCCCTGGACCTCATGGATGCTTATTGGCATGTTCTTATTCATCCAGGGTTCAGGGACTGGTTAAGTTTTGTGGTGGGGCGTCAGGCTTACCTCTTTCGTTGCCTCCCTTTTTACTTGAATCTGGCACCTTGCGTTTTCATGCTTCTTACCCGGGTTGTGGTAACCTGTCTGTGTCTGCTAGGGGTTCGGGTTTTGGCCTACCTCGACGACTGGCTGATGTGGGCTCCCAGTCGGTCCGTTTGTCTGCTCGCCAGGGATGTGATTCTCTCCCAGCCCGCCAGGTTCGTGTTCCTGGTGAACTGGAGGAAGTCCCATCTAGTTCTGTCCCAGGTTTGGACCTGGCTGGGTCTTGTTTGGGACTCTCGGACCGCTTCATTCTCTCCCCCTCCATAGGCGTTGCTGCGGCTGTGATCATGTCTTTGGCTGTTTCTGAGGGGGTCCCGTGTCACTCTGCGGTTGCTCAATAAACATACTTGAACTTGATTGTTGGGTTCGTCCTCCGGGGGCCTTGTGTCGGTTCCTGCGTCGCCGGCTTCCTCTTCGGGGTTTTTGGGGTTTGGTGCCTTGGTTCCTTCCTGAGCCTTAGCTCGATGTGTTCACGGACACGTCGTCTCGCGGCTGGGGCTTTGTGACCAGTGCTCACCAGGCTGGTCAGGGACGGTGGGGTCCGTCCTTCCGTTGCCCTCCCTCACAGCACGGTTCGGGAGTTCTCGGCGGTCTGGTTTGCGCTTTGGAGGGTTCGGGTCACTCGGGGCTCGACCATCCGGTTTCATTCGGACTGTTCTCCAGTGGTTCATTGCCTGAACTGCGGGGGGTTCTCTTCGGTTCTTGCCTCTTTGGGGTTGGTCCCTTCAAATGGTTCATCTGCTGGATTCTCGGGGTTTGGTTCTCTGTGTGGTTCATATCCGGGTAGTGTCCAATGGCCTGTCTCTTCATTCCCCTGTCCACCGAATGGACGGTCGACGCAGACTCATTTCGTTGGATCTGCCAGACGTACAGACTCTCAGACATGGACCTATTCGCGTCAGCATGGTCTCAGCGTCTCCCTTTCTATGTGGCGCCCTCTCCCGCCTGTCAGGCGTTCCCAGTGGATGCTTTTCGGCAAGACTGGTCGACGTGGGGTTACCTGTACCTCTTTCCCCCGGTCCAGCTGTTGCTTCGGGTTCTGGCTCAGTTGGAGTCCTTCCCAGGGAGAGTAGTCCTCGTGGCCCCTTGGTAGCTGGCCCACACTTGGTTTCAGGCGCTGCTTGCTCGGTATCCGAACCTGGGGCGTTTCTGCCAGCTCCGCCTCTTTCAGCAGGTCGGACCGGTCTGGTATGTGGATGGTTCAGTCTTCTCTGCTATTTGCGTCTGGTCTTTTTGACACGGGTGTATCACCATCTCTATGGTGATCAGGTGGCTTCGTTAATTGTCTCACTTGCGAGCTTCGTCTCTGCAACAGTATGAAGTTTCCTGGCATTCTTTTTGACATTTTCTTGCTCTTCGTAAGTTGTCTTCTCTTTCAGATCGGGTTGTCTTGTCTCTTTCTTGGCTTTTTCTGGACCGTCATTTGATACTTAATACTATCGCCTCATATCGTGCAGCGCTGGCGGAGCTGCTCCAGCTTGCGTTCGGAATGGAGCGGACATCACATCCGCCCCGTTCCGTAAGCTTTCTCGTGCTATGTATCACCTCCGGCCTGCTCATGCGCCGCCTGAGGCGTCCTGGTCCTTGGACAGGGTGCTCTCTTATCTTTCCTCTCCTCAGTTTGTGGTGGCCCCTTCGGTTCAAGATTGTTTTTCCAGGGCCCATTTTTTGTTGGCATTGGCCTCTGGGGATTGGGTCCGGGAGGTTCATGCTCTCCTCCGGCGCAGGGGTTTCTGCTCTTTTGGTCCTGGGAGTAAGTTTGTATGTTTGCAGCCTTCTCCATCTTTTCTGGTGCTTTCTAGAGGGGTCTTTGGGTCTTGATGTTTGATTGGTTTTGCCGGGGGTACATCATGTGTTGTCCGGTTGCGGTTCTTCGCTGATACCTGCACGCCTCGGCTGTGGTGGCTGAGGATGCGCTTTGGGTTGATCCGATTTCCCTCGTTCCTTGTTCCAGGGCTCGGGTCTCCCAGATCGTCCGCAGGGTTATTAAGTCTAGCCAGCCTGCGGTCTCTACTCGCGCCCATGACGTTTAGAGATTTGCAGCTTTGGCTGCCATGTTTGGTAACATGTCTTCGGCTAATATTCGGGCGCAAGGATTTTGGAGGTCGAACAGGGTCCTGGCCGCCTGTTATTTAGTGAACGTGCCTGCTCCTGGGCGTTCTTGTGTTGCTTTGGATCACAGATTGCAGCCAGTTGTCTCGACTCAGAGTTGAGGCGTTCGTGGCAGCCGCCTCCTGGGGTAAGTCCCCCTTTTTCCTTCTCTTTGGGTATGTAGCTCCAGGGAGCTGTAGGGGCTTTCCTCAGAAAACCAGCATTGAAATGCCATTTTCTGGGTGAGCCCCTGAAGGCTCCCTGGCAACCCTCCCTCCCACTGGTCGCCGTTTTTTTCGTGTTGGTTGAAGCTTGGCTTCCGAACTGCAGGGCTATGTAGTTGGCGCGGTGAGGTAAGGGGGTCCCCCCCCTCCCCCTCTTGGGAGGGGACGGCTGCACAGACGAGCAACGTAGCAGTAGAGTGTGATATTTGCTTGTTTGCTTGTTTCCTTGGGATATCAGGGAGTTCTACCTCTGTTCGTTTTTTTGTTTCTTACCATGTGGGATTTTTTTTGTTATGCCTACCTTCCTGGGTGCCTAACCCTGGTCGATGGTAGATAAGGAAAACCCCCAACCATAGCAGGGTTTTCCAGGACCATTGCTCCCCTGAAACCTCTCTGAAGGGGCCAGGTTCTGGCTCATGGTCCCTGGTAGATCTGAACTCCATAGCTAATGTCCCGGTCTAATGTAACATACATTAGCCCGATAAGCTCCAGGGAGCTTCCGGGGCTCACCCAGAAAATGCCATTTCATTACATTGCATTACAAGAACACTGGTTCTTTTGCGACATCCTTTCTCTTCTGTGTTAGTCTTTGGTGTCTGAACATGTGGTGCATGCCTTAGTGTTGTTTTGCTGGTTGCTGATGCCTGTTGTCATGCGGTGTTGGCAGTGCCACTGCAGCTTGCATTCGGGGTTGATACTGCCTCGGCTCCATTTTGCAAGCTCGCTCAGGCACCCCTGGCCTGCTATTGCATTGCCTAAGCCTTTTTCCTCTCTCAGCCAGGTTCTTTCTTTTTCTCCTGCCAATTATTTTTTTGTTCCCTTTAATCCAGGTTTGATTTCTTTCTGGTTTTGTATAGGTTTCTTCCTTTAGTTGTCTGGTGGGCAAGCTTCTTGCTCTCCTCCTGCTGGGCAAGGTTTTTGTTCCCTTGGACCCATTGTGGGGGTTTGTTCATTGCTGCCGGCATTTTTCAGAGTTGGCTTCTGAAAGGGTCTCCTGGTCATTGTTTCTTGGTTGGTTCGGCCAGGGTGCATCTTATGTTGTCTTTGGTAGCGGTTGTTGCTGCTTCCTTGTACCACCTGTTCTGCCTTTCTGCCTCGGTGGCCTCTTTGTGAGTTGTCCTGTCACCTTGGTCCTCTGTTGCGCGGTTCATTCTCCAGTTGTCTGCCGTATTGTTAAGTCTTGCCAGTCTGTGATCTTCCCCCTTTTGCCTTTCCCCTTGAGCCCAGACTCTTTTGCTGTGTCTGGGCCCCAGCGTCCTTGTGAGGCTTTAGGTTGTGTCTTGCGGGTTCTGTCTGACTGGTCTATAGTCTCGTCTTCACACCCATTCTGTTCGCAGTTGTATTGCTCTTCGGCTGTTCTGGCTTATCGGTCTTGGGCTGCTTTTGGGCACGGTGTGTTGTGGGGGGTTGACCTGCATTCTGGCGGCTCGGTGTCTTTGTGCTCAGTCCCTAGCACCCTTGTATGATTTTTAGGTCTTGTTTTTTTCTGGCTTTCTCCCTGGTGGTGGCAGACATGAATAAATTCATTGCAATTTTATCATAAATCCCACTGCGCCTTGTGCCTTTTTGATAGGGCCAAGTTCTGGCTTGTGGTCCCTGGCAGGCCAATAGAACTCGGCGAAGAATGACACCTAGTGGTATGACACACACAGATAGTAGCTTCAGGAAGTCACTGGAGCTCACCCAGAAATTGACATTTCATTACATTGTGTTCATTTTTTTGCTGTTATCACACTGTATTCCACATTATAGAGTACATATGTTACTATCTACATGTTTATGTATCTTGAGAACCACTAAACAGTTGTGGTAAGTGTGGTAATCTCGTAACCACTGATTCATGAACAACATTGCCACACAAGCTCACAAGTTGTTGATGGCACCCGAATTAAAAAAGTGCCGCCCAATATACTATGCACGTTGCTAACTCTAGCCGAAACACTTTTATTAGTATCAAAATCCTGGTCACTAAATCTTGAATAAGAACAATTTTTCACATGTTCATTTTCTAAAGGAACATGAGGTCCCTAAATGAGATAACTTAATTTTTCTTTTATCAAGTCTTGATAGTAGATGGCCAAATCTAAAGATCATCTTTTTCATTGCAGGTGCAAGAGTGCGAGACTAACTTCTAGTAATGGTGGAAAACATGAGCAAGCTTTACTTACACCTGCAGTTAACCCTGATAAAGTAACCATGTAAACTACTGACCTGAGTTGTATATAATAGCCAAATAACCGGAGCCTTTTAGTAGGTAGTGTAGTGGTTACTAACATATGCATGTAGATGCAGTAGAACTTGTGCCATATTTGTACATTACTAGTCCTTTCTAGTCGAACAAGAGTAAAGCAAACATGTTTTAGCGAATGGTGTTGCTTTTATATTTGTCGTCATCTACCAGAAGTGCCTTGTTAACACTTGAGCATTGTTCTTGGTCTGTTAAAGCTTCACAATGGGAGAATTCATAATAGAATGTACACTGTGTGGATCTTCTTTTAGTTATGAAAAAGATTATGATGCCCATCCGTGCTTAGATGCGGATGTCAAAGTTCCTTTCAAAATTAAATTGGAGCAGGGCGAGGATGAGGAAGAAAAGGAACTGGATGAAGCCCAGGATATGTTAAATCGGGCCTCGTGTTCTGGGATTCAAATTGGAGAGATTATGACAGCCGTCAAAGAGGAGCCGACTGATTCTATGGATATTGAAGATGAAGATCCCTTGGATCTAAAATATACTGAAAAAGAGGAAACTAGAAATGAGACTAAGCCTGCAATAGAAGATACGCGTGATCGTTTGAGTAGTGAGGAGGAAGTTGAAGAACTTGAAGTAATGGACCCTAATACTAAAGTAGACAAAGTGACAGATGCAGTATCTATTCGCAATGAATGTGGAGTGTGTGGCAAGCGGTTTTATAGGAGGGAAGATTTTCTTACCCACACTACAAATTCACATAAAATTCCTAGACCATTCCAATGTAAGGTATGCAAAAAAAGGTTTACTCAAAAGCACTATGTTACTCTGCATATGAGAGTTCATACAGGTGAAAGGCCCTATAAATGTAAACTTTGTTCTAACTCTTATTCCCACAAGACGAGTTATACAATTCACATGAGAATTCATACTGGAGATCGACCATATATGTGTGGGGTTTGTGGGAAAAAATGTTATGATAAATCTGGTCTGACAAGTCACATGAGGTCGCACACTAAGGAAACACCGTACGAGTGTGAAGTATGTGGAAGACGCTTCACTCATTCCAAAAGTTTGTTAGTCCATCGTAGGAATCATACTGGTGAAAAGCCTTATAAGTGTATATATTGTGGTAAATGTTTTAGGCATTGGCATAAACATAAAATACATATTAGGTTACACACTGGAGAAAGGCCCTATAGGTGTAATGTTTGTGGTAAGGGTTTTCCACGTAATGATGAAGTAAAAAGACACATGAGAAGTCATCAGGGAATCAAATCCTTTAAGTGTTCCATTTGTGGCGTGTATTGTGCCACACAAGCAAGTATTACAGGACATATTGACCTTCATCATGCTGATCTAAGGCAAATTGATCCAAATGCACCAGAAAAAACTGTTGTAAAAAATAGTCATTCTGGAATTCTAGGAACAAAAGCCCCTCAGCCAAGGACAATTTATAAGCCAGTTGTGTCAGTAGCAACCCAAAGTACATCCACCGGATCAAACACTCCTCAAACAATTTTACAACCAGTTATTGACAAGAATAATGCTTCTAAATTTAAAAATAATAAAGATCTAAAAAGAACAGAAAATAAATTGGAAAGCAAAACACAGTCTAAAGAGGGTGAGAAGACTAAAGTCCTCAGCTATAAAGAATTTATTGAACTTCAAGAAAAATTGTTATTGTGTAAAGGTTTGACTGTTAAAGATCCACAAGAAAATTCAGCGGCCAACAAGTCAAGTGTTGACGGTAATAGTAGCAGTAAGAGTGGTACAGTGACCAATATATCAAATAAAACAATCATACACAACAACACGAGACCAGCATACAGTGTTGGTAGCCACTTTTTGGACGGTAATATTCGAGGAAAACAAATAATGGTATTGTCTACTCAGAGTGGTCAGAAAGGGGAGGGTACTCGGTTTGTGGTGCCTCAATCATTAAGCGGTAACAAGCAGATAATAGCCACTACGTCTTCTGGTTCAATTCCGGCTGGGCAGCGCATAGTCATACGTCAACCTTCCGTACTGATGCCTCAAACTCAGATGACTGGAGGCCAACAGATTGTACTGCTTTCTAAATCTGGCAGCCAACAAAACTCAGTGATGTTATCACAGCCATTGCTGTTAGTGTCTGGGGGCAATTCTCAGTGCATGGTGCTAGTTCCCTCGAATTCCACTACTGGCTCTAACACAGGGGCTGTGCAAACGATATTGCTTCCAGCTTCAGCAGTAAATACACAAATTACCAATGGAGCAAGTACTGCAAGCACCAAAGTTGTGATCAAGCAAGAGCCAGAGGAGGTTGCTTCCACTAACAATACTGCACCAACGATTACCATAAAACAAGAGCCAGGCATACAGTTACCAGCTGGTGTAGTGATTAAACAAGAACCAATTGATGATGCCTCCACAAATGTCAATAGTTCATGTAATGCTATAACAATCAAGCAGGAGCCACAAGACTAGTTGGCAAGTCTACCAGATGCTCATTTTATTATGGTTGTAAGATGCTCCTTTAAACTTGATGTTAGGGATTGTATTGTAACCCTTAAGTGTCGTGCAATACCCAATAAAATTTGTCTTTCAAAGATGAAATAAACTATGACTTTAGTAAGTCAGACTTTGATTAGACATAATGTACACTACTTGAAATCAAACTAGTCATTTAAAGTGCAACAAATGTTATATTTTCACCTCTGCCGGGTTTTTACCATTTTTTTAACGATTCCTTCAAATATCAAGTCAGTTCTGTCACTAGTCAATCTTTTGTGAATATGGGGCCTACAGAGGGCCTTCATGCCTCTTGAGACGGCTCAGGTGTCGTCTGGTGTTTAGTGTACCTGCAAGGACATTCCTTTTTTATTATGTGTATGCATGAGAAATTAAATTATGATAATTTGTATGGATAGTTACTACTGTTTTTATATTTTTCTTAAAATACTGTTACCTAATATTTTATTTTAAGTAAGGTGTTTCAAAGTATTTATTTGATTTACAGTACAGAATTTTTATTTATGATTCTTTGTATACTTAATTATGTAAGATTGATTGGGCTAGTCATTATTGTAATTGTGAAATGTACTTAATATATAAGTAAGGCATATTTATGGATTTATTATTATTATAAAGGCATTTGATTGATTTTAATTTGTTTAGAATTATCATTTTATAATGTTAATGATGTTTAGGAGTAAAGTTTTCATAGAGTATGATTATAAATGCTCAATAATTATAACAGTAATATTGGCATGGACTTAATTTAAGCCTACAGGATTAATTCATAGAATTTAATTTTCAGAATGATTTTAATGTAAAAGAGAATTGCTAAATTTTGTCCTTTCAACCTACTCTTAATCTTACAAGTATTAAATTATTGACAAGATTTACAGTAAGCATAAATCCCCTATTATGAATACTGTGAGCAGTGTGGCATGCCAAGCCCTTAATAAATTAATATTTTTGAGGAAGTTTTTTGATAACGGTACCAAGTAATCTGGGAGATGGGACAAGAACCCAGTCTTATCTTGGCTCTTGTAGATATGTGGACAAATTACATTATCGTGCAATACAGTATACTGTATGTGTATAATTTAATACTGCAAATGGTTATGAAGAAAGTGTGTAAATGATTTCTTAACAGAAGGAAAATGTTTGCATTTTATCTGCCAAAATCCATTTGGTTCATAATTATTTATATTTTTAATTTGTGAACTTTATGCTTGTGTGCTGACATTGTATGTAACATTGATTCATTCATTAACACTACACAACTTCCCACCTCATGGCTGTAAGACATAAATAACCACCATTACTTGCCAATGACTAATACTGACAATTCTAATGTAATCATCTTGCATGACAAATTAACGAGTATTTCAGTGTATTGTACCATTCATATATATATTATAGTTTATCGGGTTCAATTCCAGATGATCAGATATATCTGATCATTAGCATGTAAATTCTTTTTTTGGAATAATGAGGTTCAACAAGAGATATACAAATATATAAAGAACTAGAATTTTATGAAGATTAATTATGAATACAAAAAATAGCTACATTGCTGTATTTTGGTTTTTGTTTCCTATTGTCCAGAAGAGGAAACTTACTATTCTCATCAAAGTCCCGATAGGCCAATGACTTGCCTTGCCCAAGATGCAACCCACAACAGCTGCCTAACTCATGGGTACCTATTTACTGCTAGGTGAACCAACATGTCTGCCCTGCACAGAAATTAAACTCTTGAACTTTTGAGTTGAGAACCAACTACTCTAACGTTATGTCTAAGCTTGCAGAATATTGGATATTAATCTATATTAATTATTATACAGTTAATATTATTCATTTTGGTGTAACTTTTAATTATCTATATATATCTGTGTAGTAAAGTTGCATCCGATTGAATCCAAGTTTGATTCCCGGGCTATGAGAGACTTTGGGCATGTTTGTTGTACACCTAATGCCTCCGTTCACCTAGTAGTAAATAGGTATCTGGGAGTAAAGCAGTTATGGATTACGTCCTGAGGAAGGTCAGTCATTGGAATTGGGAGATGTGAATAAGCTGAAGGCTTTGCGTCCCTTACATAATGGGAAACCAAAAATTGCTCCAGCTTAAATGTGTGTGTGACTTGATTACATTTGTCTCATTATATAAAGTGCTTAATATACAATAGTTTAGTTTCATCATGAATTAAAGAACTTTATATTTGTAAGCATTAGTTATGATTCTAGTGGTGCAGCAAAGTGAGTGGTGGGGGGGGGGGGGGGAGGAACAAGGACTGCATGTTTATTAAGCTTGCTTGTTTACACAGTAGAGCTTCCAGGGGCAGCTGGCACCAGTAGTCTACTAACATGCACCTTAACAAACTCTCCTCTACCTTAATAATGGTTTGCATTTACTCCTCTATTACCTTGCTACAAAGCTTCATATTTCACTCGTTTATTCACATTTGATGAGATTAGCTTGAAAGGAGCATGGAGAAAATATTCACACTGAGGTCGTCTTCAATCTAATTGTTTTATCAACTAAAAAACTTGTTTAGTATTTCTGTAATACTGTGTTATTGTAGAAATGAGCTGGATATGTACAAAAGAAAGATTATAAAGTTAAATTACAGCACTTACCATTTGTAACATCAGGGATACTCAGTGATTACAGGCATTATTATGTATCAGTAAAAGATTTGTTTGTTAGATTGTCCAAATACTCATATAATGAAGTTTGTCATTAACCCCTGAAGTGCGGCTATGATCAAAGCTTTGCCTGTGCAAAAAAAAATATATATATAAAATACAAATAATTTGTTTTATAAATTATACATCTGTTTGCTAAAAAATATGGAGTATACAAAAAAATTTGCGAGGGGGGGGGGGGGAGGAAAGGGAGTTGTGCACACCTGAAGATTGCCAAGTCGATCATTTTGTCCATAGGCTGTGGCAGCGTGACTTTCCCGACTTGCCAAATCCGAGACACTGCTGTCATGTTTGCTGTTTTACATTAGTTTACACAATGTCTGGAATATTTCAAATTATTGACATATGATTATCAGAGTACTGTATATAGGCCTAGAAATGTAATATGTTCACACACACACACACACGCACATATACACACACATATAAATATATATATATATAAATATATATATACATATATATATATATATATATATATATACATATATATAATATATATATATGTATATATAATATATAATATAATATATATAATTGAACATTAATCTGTTTCTGGTGAAGTTCAAAGGCGGTGTCTTGCAATCCACAATGTTACTGCTGTTTTGTATGTTAATGTCGTCCAGAAATATTCAAACACTGGCAGGAAACACCAATTTGGGATTTTGAGGTTACAGTAATTGTCTTGTTGGTGGTACACGGTAACCTTGTCTATAGTCAGCCATTACAAGTGATAGCGAGTTTTGTTATGGTGTCTGTTAACTGCAATACACCCATAGAGATGTATGATAACTATAATTGCAGAATTTGTATGAAAGCTGCGTGATAACTAAAATCATCTCATGATGGCAGCATTATTCTAGAATCAACATGTGATGATAACCACACTTTATGGGTTAAAAAAATAGTGCATATTTCCACTCTCTTCTACGTGTAATAAATATATACTCATCAGTATTGTTTAGTATTTGTCACCAACCGTGCACTCCCCCCCAACTCCACCGTGCACTCCCCCCAACTCCACCGTGCACTCCCCCCCAACTCCACCGTGCACTCCCCCCCAACTCCACCGTGCACTCCCCCCAACTCCACCGTGCACTCCCCCCCCCCCCAACTCCACCGTGCACTCCCCCCAACTCCACCGTGCACTCCCCCCCAACTCCACCGTGCACTCCCCCCCAACTCCACCGTGCACTCCCCCCAACTCCACCGTGCACTCCCCCCCAACTCCACCGTGCACTCCCCCCCAACTCCACCGTGCACTCCCCCCCAACTCCACCGTGCACTCCCCCCAACTCCACCGTGCACTCCCCCCCCCCAACTCCACCGTGCACTCCCCCCCAACTCCACCGTGCACTCCCCCCCAACTCCACCGTGCACTCCCCCCCAACTCCACCGTGCACTCCCCCCAACTCCACCGTGCACTCCCCCCCCCCAACTCCACCGTGCACTCCCCCCCCCCAACTCCACCGTGCACTCCCCCCAACTCCACCGTGCACTCCCCCCAACTCCACCATGCACTCCCCCCCAACTCCACCGTGCACTCCCCCCAACTCCACCGTGCACTCCCCCCAACTCCACCGTGCACTCCCCCCCAACTCCACCGTGCACTCCCCCCCAACTCCACCGTGCACTCCCCCCAACTCCACCGTGCACTCCCCCCAACTCCACCGTGCACTCCCCCCCAACTCCACCGTGCACTCCCCCCAACTCCACCGTGCACTCCCCCCCCCAACTCCACCGTGCACTCCCCCCAACTCCACCGTGCACTCCCCCCCAACTCCACCGTGCACTCCCCCCAACTCCACCGTGCACTCCCCCCAACTCCACCGTGCACTCCCCCCAACTCCACCGTGCACTCCCCCCAACTCCACCGTGCACTCCCCCCAACTCCACCGTGCACTCCCCCCAACTCCACCGTGCACTCCCCCCATATACCCTTTCCCAACTTCATCATACACCCCCCCCCCTCTCAACTCCACACCATCATACAACCCCCCTACTCCACCCCATCATACAACCCCCCCTACTCCACCCATCATACTACCCCCCTACTCCACCCCATCATACAACCCCCCCTACTCCACCCCATCATACAACCCCCCCTACTCCACCCCATCATACAACCCCCCCTACTCCACCCCATCATACAACCCCCCCTACTCCACCCCATCATACTACCCCCCCTACTCCACCACATCATACAACCCCCCCTACTCCACCCCATCATACTACCCCCCCTACTCCACCCCATCATACAACCCCCCCTACTCCACCCCATCATACAACCCCCCCCTACTCCACCCCATCATACTACCCCCCTACTCCACCCTATCATACAACCCCCCTACTCCACCCCATCATACAACCCCCCCTACTCCACCCCATCATACAATCCCCCCCCTACTCCACCCTATCATACAACCCTCCCTACTCCACCCCATCATACTACCCCCCTACTCCACCCTATCATACAACCCCCCTACTCCACCCTATCATACAACCCCCCCTACTCCACCCTATCATACAACCCCCCCTACTCCACCCTATCATACAACCCCCCCTACTCCACCCCATCATACAACCCCCCCTACTCCACCCCATCATACAACCCCCCCTACTCCACCCCATCATACAACCCCCCCTACTCCACCCCATCATACAACCCCCCTACTCCACCCCATCATACAACCCCCCCTACTCCACCCCATCATACAACCCCCCCCTACTCCACCCCATCATACAACCCCCCTACTCCACCCCATCATACAACCCCCCTACTCCACCCCATCATACAACCCCCTACTCCACCCCATCATACTACCCCCCTACTCCACCCTATCATACAACCCCCCTACTCCACCCCATCATACAACCCCTCTACTCCACCCCATCATACAACCCCCCTACTCCACTCCATCATACAACCCCCCCCTACTCCACCCCATCATACAACCCCCCCCCTACTCCACCCCATCATACAACCCCCCTACTCCACCCCATCATACAACCCCCTACTCCACCCCATCATACAACCCCCTACTCCACCCCATCATACAACCCCCCTACTCCACCCCATCATACTACCCCTCTACTCCACCCTATCATACTACCCCTCTACTCCACCCCATCATACAACCCCCCCCTACTCCACCCCATCATACAACCCCCCCCTACTCCACCCTATCATACTACCCCTCTACTCCACCCCATCATACAACCCCCCCTACTCCACCCCATCATACAACCCTCCCTACTCCACCCCATCATACAACCCCCCTACTCCACCCCATCATACAACCCCCCTACTCCACCCCATCATACAACCCCCCTACTCCACCCCATCATACAACCCCCCTACTCCACCCCATCATACAACCTCCCCTACTCCACCCCATCATACAACCCCCCCTACTCCACCCCATCATACAACCCCCCCTACTCCACCCCATCATACAACCCCCCCTACTCCACCCCATCATACAACCCCCCCTACTCCACCCCATCATACAACCCCCCCTACTCCACCCCATCATACAACCCCCCCTACTCCACCCCATCATACAACCCCCTACTCCACCCCATCATACAACCCCCTACTCCACCCCATCATACAACCCCCTACTCCACCCCATCATACTACCCCCCTACTCCACCCTATCATACAACCCCCCTACTCCACCCCATCATACAACCCCTCTACTCCACCCCATCATACAACCCCCCTACTCCACTCCATCATACAACCCCCCCTACTCCACCCCATCATACAACCCCCCCCCCTACTCCACCCCATCATACAACCCCCCTACTCCACCCCATCATACAACCCCCTACTCCACCCCCATCATACAACCCCCTACTCCACCCCATCATACAACCCCCCTACTCCACCCCATCATACTACCCCTCTACTCCACCCTATCATACTACCCCTCTACTCCACCCCATCATACAACCCCCCCCTACTCCACCCCATCATACAACCCCCCCCTACTCCACCCTATCATACTACCCCTCTACTCCACCCCATCATACAACCCCCCCTACTCCACCCCATCATACAACCCTCCCTACTCCACCCCATCATACAACCCCCCTACTCCACCCCATCATACAACCCCCCTACTCCACCCCATCATACAACCCCCCTACTCCACCCCATCATACAACCCCCCTACTCCACCCCATCATACAACCTCCCCTACTCCACCCCATCATACAACCCCCCCTACTCCACCCCATCATACAACCCCCCCTACTCCACCCCATCATACAACCCCCCCTACTCCACCCCATCATACAACCCCCCCCCTACTCCACCCCATCATACAACCCCCCCTACTCTACCTACCCCATCATACAACCCCCCCTACTCCACCCCATCATACACCCCCCCCCTACTCCACCTCATACCCCATCATACAACCCCCCCTACTCCACCCCATCATACAACCCCCCCCTACTCCACCCCATCATACAACCCCCCCCTACTCCACCCCATCATACAACCCCCCTACAACCCCCCCCTACTCCACCCCATCATACAACCCCCCCCTACTCCACCCCATCATACAACCCCCCTACTCCACCCCATCATACAACCCCCCTACTCCACCCCATCATACAACCCCCCTACTCCACCCCATCATACAACCCCCCCCCTACTCCACCCCATCATACAACCCCCCCCCCCCCTACTCCACCCCATCATACAACCCCCCCTCCACCCCATCATACAACCCCCCCCTACTCCACCCCACCCCATACAACCCCCCCTACTGCACCCCATACACCCCATCATACAACCCCCCGATACTCCACCCCATTATACAACCCCCCCCCCCCTACTCCACCCCATCATACAACCCCCCCCTCCACCCCATCATACACTCCCCCCATCATACAACCCCCTACTACTCCACCCCATCATACCCCCCCGATTCCACCCCATTATACAACCCCCCTACTGCACCCCATCATATAACCCCCCCCTACTCCACCCCATCATACAACCCCCCGATTCCACCCCATTATACAACCCCCCCTACTGCACCCCATCATATAACCCCCCCCCTACTCCACCCCATCATACAACCCCCCTACTCCACCCCATCATACAACCCCCCTACTCCACCCCATCATACTACCCCCCTACTCCACCTCATACTACCCCCCTACTCCACCCTATCATACAACCCCTCCCCCCTACTCCACTCTCCCCTCACCATCTCATATTTCTTGTAAGCATTACTTTGTTTATTTATGTGTACTTTTGGATTTTGCAATTTGCTGAAAAATATAGCAGGTATTTCCTCTGGATTGCAACACTTGGATGCTGGGCCAAGAGACTGGCTGTTTTGTGATTCATAGTTCCCCTGATGAGTGATTCCCAGTTCACTCATAAGTTTAGCATACGTTTACCCCACAAAGCAAGTCTCCAAACACGTGGAGCCGAGTGCCCGCCAAACACACACCGAAACTACGACGTTGGTACAACGTTCGAACAAGTTTTAACACCTCCTAACCAGTTATAACAACCAATATAGCAAGTTGTATCAACGTTCTAATACGTCATAAACACATTAAGCCAAGATGTAACAACTTTATTACAAGTTGTAACAAGCGGAAAATAGAGACAGTTTCGGTTTGTGTTTCCAGGGTGGTTGGCCATCCGGGGCCTCCCGAACGCGGCAGTTCCAGTGCCAGAGACGGATGTTATCCAGTGTAGATACACGTGTGTAGCCCCACACTTGTGTAGAGATTTTTTGGGAACGTTTTGTGTGTGCCGGCTTTATCGGCTGCACAAGGCTAGTGCTTATGGATGGGGGAAATTAAAGGGTGGTTGTCATAGGTTTATGGGAGCCTAAATTGTTCATTTTGAAGTTTTGGTTTAGCATGTGTATAGTAATTAACAAATTTTATTTTACTCAATTTGATAGTGTTGTAATATTTAA